CATTGGACTTTAGTCGCCATGTGTTCAAGTAAGCGAGTGTTTTGAATGGCAGGAGTTTGTCAAAAGTTGTTATTGTGCCGTTCGTGTAGCTCAGAGCAAACAGTTCGGTACCTTAACATTTCGCCTTTCCTATTCAAAGAAACTTTGGAACTTCATACCCTTTTGTAATTTTCAGAAAACCTCACTCTTACGTATACATTCACACACGTATGCCTTTGATGGAAGCGAAGAGTTTTATTCAAGTTGTTGTGACTTTGTTCATCGACCGAGGCCGTGCGGTCGATGTGTGGCTTTTGAGCTTGAGCCCATTGTGAACTGTGAGTTTTCGACGTTTGTTTTGAGAGGAAATAAAGACAGGTACTACGGTACTGACACAGCGATAAACGCACCAGTCTGCTTTTTCACACGAACGCATTTCACTGTTCTAAACAGACAACACAACGAAACAAGAAAATTCCGTGACAGACTGAATATTTCCGTGAAAATCGCGTCTAATACACGACCTTTAAGTCGTTTCTGTGCCAATGTTTTTACGGCAGGCGGTCTAGAAGTATTAAAACATTTCCAGCAATCAGCTGCTTCCCAGATCTTCCCCATCCTCCACCTGTTAGTTAGGTCACGCAAAGCGTAAGGAAAAGTTGCGTGAAGTTCCAAACAATGGCTGCGCGGCAAATTGGCAAGATACTCGGTAAGTGAAGTTTGATAATTGACTAAGAACGACAAAGAAGTGCAGATGCATTCTAGTGGGATCTCAGAAGATTTTGCCATTTTGAAGCGAGAAACAAGTGGAATTAAAAGAATACAAACTATGAAACACACTTTTGTGAAGATCNCAGCAATCAGCTGCTTCCCAGATCTTCCCCATCTTCAACCTGTTAGTTAGGTCACGCAAAGCGTAAGGAAAAGTTGCGTGACGTTCCAAACAATGGCTGCGCGGCAAACTGGCAAGATACTCGCTATGTGAGGTTTGATAATTGACTAAGAACGACAAAGAAGTATAAAACACACTTTTGTGAAGATCCTTGTTGAGGTACATAGATACTCTCTGCTTCATGTTGTCCAATCAGAAATAAGGATTACAATCCAGTTACAACTGGGGCACGTCGCAAAGGTCGCGGGCTCAGTCTGGGAGACATGTTTTTACACAAATACAGATTTTCTACAAGTGTAGGAACAGTGTCATAATTCATTTGGTGTAGTAACGAACAAATGAGGAAAGACCTTCTGAAGAGAGCTGCTCCATAACATAACAAGGACTTTTCCTTACAATTGTACATCAGTACCCTTTGTCCCGAAAACGACAAACATTTTGCATGTGAGGTTCTTGTCTAGCCGAGCTCTTCGTTATTTTACTCAGAAATACTTAGGTAAGACCATGCGAAGCTCTTTACAAAGTGTTAATTTTCGTTCGCTTCCATTTCCTCAACTTCATTGACAATTGGTGATCCTTGTCCCTTCAGTTCGCCCGCATCCTCAGTGCCATTTTTTTCTTCTTCTTCTTTGTCATCACTTTGTTCAGCTTCTTCCTCTTCCTTTTCTTCTTCTGGTGGCTGTGGAATGTTGGCCANCTTCTGAAGAGAGCTGCTCCATAACATAACAAGGACTTTTCCTTACAATTGTACATCAGTACCCTTTGTCTCGAAAACAACAAACATTTTGCATGTGAGGTTCTTGTCTAGCCGAGGTCTTCGTTGTTTTACTCAGAAATACTTAGGTAAGACCATGCGAAGCTCTTTACAAAGTGTTAATTTTCGTTCGCTTCCATTTCCTCAACTTCATTGAGAATTGGTGATCCTTGTTCCTTCACTTCGCCCGCATCCTCAGTGCCATTTTTTTCTTCTTCTTCTTTTCTTCTTCTCACTTTGTTCAGCTTCTTCCTCTTCCTTTTCTTCTTCTGGTGGCTGTGGAATGTTAGCCATGTACTAAAAAGAAACCGTGTCGCGTTAAATGTTTTAAGTTATAACATCACACGAAGATTGGTTTTGTATTTGTTAAGCTCTAACGTGGTTAATAAAGGAAGAAATGAGTTAACGAAAGCAAAAAATAAAAAAAAGCCCGCACAAATGCACTAGTCAATCACAGCAAAGTAAAACACGCCATTTGTCCAACCAATCACCGGGGAGCAAAATCGGAACCAATCGTGGCTTAGCCTCACGCATTTCCCGCGCTTTGCACCGGTTGCGTTTTTCACTGTAAGCTCTGATAGCTTAATGGTTCACTGCGTAACTAAAATGCGTTGTGATTAGCCACATTTGAATTGAAAGCAGTCGAATTAAGCGTAAGACAGAATTTATTCGTTTTACAGTTAATCATACCTCTCTCTGAGCTCTCAGTGATTCAACGTAGTGACTGTAGTAGTCATATACAAAGCGATGCATCTGAGGCATATCCTGAACAATAAAAGGTCGTTCAGCTGGAGGAACTCCACGCTTGAAGACAAGAAAAAAAAAAAACTATCAGAAAGAAATGGAAATAAAAAGAGTTGTCGTGGAACTAACGTTCAAAATAAGAATAACGCAACAGCCCAGTACAGATCTGATCTTTCACTGTAGATCAGTCTGGTCTAAATTTCTGAAGGTTGATGAATCTTCTAGACGGAAAATGCATGGCTCGAACAAAAGTTGTTTTAGTAAGCATGGAAAGAAACCACTGATGGCAAATCAAAACAGTTGATAATCCGTAACAAATACTTCGGCGTCTTTCACAAAAACTAAAAGTTGAATCACGTTCACATTAACCTCTTGGCAGGCGTCAAAAAAAGGAAGGGGAGGGGGAGGAGAGGAGGAACTTCGGCAGAGTGGAAAGCGCGTTCCACGTCGATCAAAAGCTCACAATGACCGCCGTGAAGTTAATATCACTCTGCACTGGTCTGGGCTAGTTTTGACACCTGGTTGCTACGCTGCGAGACATCTTGCACGAAGCGTTGCTTAGTGTAAAAACCCTTAAGCTGTCCCAGCATTGCTGTTGTCACTATGAAAAGTAGAACTCGAAAGAACATTGCGCAACGCTTGCTGCATGGAAAACGCTGCGAGAATACTTCATTTAAGTGTGTGTCACGCTGGACGATTCCTCGTGCAAGTCAGAAAAAAAATCGGAAAAGAAGTTGCAAGGAATACCGCCTTGAGTGACAGCAACTTACACTGTAAATGTATTCAAAAGTAAAATGATAAGGCTAATTGAATGTCTATCCAACTCTGTTACCTGTCGGGATGGTGGATATCTCTCACTTGTAGCGAGGTAGAGTTTCAACGGTCTGCTGGTCAACTGAGTAAGAGAGAATTATTCATTCATACTGATCAGCAATAAATTTCTCCTTGCATTGTTAATACATCATCAAACAAAAAGATGATGAGAATATCAAGTTTCAACATGTTCAAGTGATTTGCACCAAATATTGACTTGACTACCTTTCCCCCTTAGATTCAATGTAATCATTTCGAGAAAGCAGATAAATTCTAGATTTTCTGCAGACACAAACTTTTTTTTCCACATTTTGTTCCAGTTAAAATGTTTCCAAATTTTTTATCCCATTCTGAACGAGTCTAACATACAAAAAAATTATGAAAATCGCCAAGAAGTCTGCTAACCCAAGCTAAAGATTGACAATACTAATTTGTTTCTTAAAACAATGACAAAGGCACTCGCCAGATTTCTTTGCTATCGTTACCTTTGCGCGCGTTACGTGACAACATTAGCTCTACGTGATGGCTTTGTGCGTGACATAACGTAAGCATAGGGTGACACTTTGTAAGTAAGGCACCGCACATGTGATGTGACGACCTACTCTGTTTATTTACACTATACACTCACCTGAGCGAAAGTAGGTCTGAGTTCAAAACAGTTCTTAAAGAGGCTGACACGTGCTAGCACATAGAGACCGAGCCTTGCACGTGACATGGCGACCACAAGACGGCGTACATCCCGGATGTGACCCACGGTCTTGGTGCGGACAAGTGACAGAATGATGTAGTCGTTCTGTTGCCCCTGGTAACGATCCACTGTGGTCACCTGATCACGTGATAAAACGGAAGAAACGTCAGAGTCAAAGTCTTGTTTCGTACTCTATTATTATTCTCGAAGTAGTTATTTTGCGTTGGTTTTGCGTCTCCTAAGCTGTATAATAGCTCCTACATACTCCTGTAATGCTCTAACAAACATGTTGTTCTACGTGCAAATCGCGAGCTAAACCAAAGCCAATCCTGACCTTGTTTACTGGCTTTTTCCCGCGCTTGGTACCCGTTTCGAGTTTTCCCGCACTTGGCAGCAGTTACATGTTTTCCCGCGCCTGCCAGCGCCAGTTGCACATTATTAGTTCGAGTTCCTATTGATTGGCTAATAGCGTCTGGGTTACCGCTTTACTTGCGATTGTAATGATTACCTAGATGTGACTAGGCTGGTTTTGTGTCTTTAGCATGATACAAACAGATTAGAAGCCAGCGGTCTATAACACTGTTACTTCTCAAGTCATCTTGAAGAGTAATTCTATCTCTATCACAGACTAAACGACAGAAGCTCAACAAGATTAACATTTAAGATCTCTACACAGTTTTCACCACTGACTACGGCATTATTTTCATAACAATTCTACATTATATCATATGCGCTAGCGCCAATAACAACAACGTAACAGTTCACGGAATCTTCTTCACTACAACTGTAAATGACTAAGATACCTCCCCTCACCATCCATTTACCTTACTCGGTTGTCCAATCAGCGGGTTGTTTGCACACCTCTGTCGTATGACGTCACGAATAAGATGTTTCTGTCCGTTGTATGTAGTCAGGATGGCGATCTTGTCGGCGGGGTAACCAATCAAGCGCATGTACATAAAGATAGCCACAGCGTATTCGGCTTCACCTAGATTCTAAATGTGTATATATATATATAAAAAATTAACAATTATTCCACGAGCGCGCGTTGGATACGAGATGGTAGCTAGCCAATGGGGCGCGTAACACCGAGTTGACTATAACCATCTCATATCCAACAAGGGCGAGTGGAGTGATTGTTTATTAAAACCGCCCCAAAATATAGAAAACTAGACTAAAATAAAAGTAAGTCGCCCCAAAAAATCGCGTCTACGCTTACCATATTTTTAGAGCATGGTATAATGGCTCATAACCCATGATGGCTAAGCCAGTGAAAACTCTCGAATTGCATTATGCAATGATCGAGATTTTAATAATGACTGTTGTGAAAGTGATGATTGCACAGTATTTGGTAACTGTGTTACATTCAAAATGGTAATTACAACGTTGCGTCTTACAGTTGAAGGACTTTGACAACAAACACACAAAAAATTAGTGTGTTCTACAGTGGCTGGGGTGCAAGGCCACTATTCACACAGAAAACATTAATTCTGTCTTACTGACCAGAAACAATTTTCAGTGAGCATCATTTCAGATTTCAGATTTTTTTATTTTTTGCACATTACCAGGAGCCATAATCGGGGACGGAGACCGTAAGTCTTGGGATCCGCGCGCACCTATGATATGGGACAATTTTTCTATTTTTAGAACAAATTGCG